CGCAGGCGGCGCAGAACCGCGACAAATCAGAAGTGGTGACGACAGAGTGATTTTGGAAGACGTGCAACAAACATTGAGGAAGTGCCGTTCGCATTATTAATGCATGGGGAATGCTGACCACGGGGCTAATTGGTCACACGATTTGGACGGGCGTTTTGTCGTCGCGCGTTCCGCGCGCCCGGAAGGCTCGCGCCCGCGCTGGGAGTCCGCGCGCGTGCTGATGCCTTCGCGCACGCGCGCTCGCATGGCGCGCGGCGAAATTAGCGCGCGCTGGATGCGCGCGCGCCGGCGCCATCGCGCGCGCCTCCGCTGAGGGCGGAGCGCGAGGCGCGCGCGCGGGGGAGGGATGATGCGCGCGCGCAACAAAGAGGCGACTCGCCAAGAACAGAGCATAGTCCGTCTGCGTTGCGCACTGCGCGAGACCAGCGTCAAGGCGGGAGCCACGATGCGGGGACGGCGGTGGCGTCAGAGTTAAGTCGCGCGTCGCCTATCGCAGCTCGGCGCGTTTGAATTTAGTCATCGGGATATCGGAAACGCCGGAAAGGGTCCTACGCTCGCGCGGTTCCACTGGGAAGTTGTTAAAATAATAGAGCGGCCGGGGGTCGCCGCGGGGCGGGCGCGAGGGCTGCCGCGCGCGCGACCCCCCTCCCCGCCCTTTCCCTTGCCCCCCCTCCCCTCGCCGCGCCCCCGCCCCCCTGCGTCGCGGGGGGGGGGGGGGGCGGGGGGGCGGTAGAAAGCTCGGCGCGGCGCTTGATGGGGGCGCGCTCAAAAGTTCAACGCGTGGGAGTTTCGAGCGAAATCGCACTTTTGGATGAATTTCTCAAAAGTGCGCTCGGGCGATTGCACCTTCGACGCGGGGGGGGGGGGGGGCGCGCTCAGAAGTGCGACCTGGGCGTCGCCGCTCGGCCGCTCCAGCGCGTCGAAAAGTGCGCCCACAAGTGCGCTCTAAGGATGCATCAGCTCACGGGGCCCAGTCCGGTTCAGCTTGGAGACTGGCGCAGCGCAGGCCGGCATTGCGTGGAGTTGCATATCGTTGATTGCTCGGTAGCGCATCGCAGTGCGTAGTGATTGTGGATGGCCATCGCATCGCAGGGAAATTGTGCCTTCGCCACCTTGCACCGCGCCGCGCGCCCGCAACGTGTTGCGCGAGTTCTGCTTCGCTTTTGCAGCGCTGTGGCGCTCCTCTCCCTGCGCCCCGATCTTAGGATAGGGCGCGTGGCGCAGTGCCTTGGGCCCCCCCCATCGCGGGCCCCTGGCAGGACGTTGCGTCGCCGAGCTGTTTCGGCTCGCCCGGGCCGAACCCTCTATTGCGATCTGGGCAGGGGGGCGCGGGGTGGGCGCGAACGCCATGCGCAGCGGCGATGCGCGGTCTTATCCGCGCCAGGTGGCGCGCCACTGCGTTGGCGCGCCGCCCAGGCTTTCACGCGCGCGACAGTCTCATCCTCCACCATTCGCTCAGGGAAGAAAGGGGCGGATGTTTGGCGTTCTCATGGCTTCGCGTCGCGCTTTTGCGCAATGCGTCGCGTGGCGCATCAGGACTGACCTTGTGACTCATTGAAATGTGCGTATTATGGGACTGCTCTGCATATGCGTAGCGCGCCAGGGAGCTGCGTGGCGGGCGCAGTGCTGCGCGCGGGCTGCGCGCATCCGAACCCGAAGCGCAAGCGCAACGCGGGCGCAAATGGGGTGCGCAATTTTGGCCGGCGTCGGCGGCGGCAAGGTCGCCGGCGCCGGCGCCGCCGTTGGCCGCGGGGGGCGCGGCGTCGGCCGCGGGGGGCGTCTCCCAGGAGGCTGGGCTTGTGAATCGGCGTCGAGCGCGGCAGAGCCCAGGGCAGCGGCAGCGCGGCGGCAGGGGCGGCGGAGCAAGGCCTTGCCGGGCCCGGTCTATTTTGGGGGCGGCGCCCCGGGAGCGCTAGTTGTGGAATCTTGTGTTTTAATGGTTGAGTGGCTCTAGGACTAAGGTTCTGACAGTTCGCGATAGTTCGCGCCGCCGTTCGCGCCGCAGTTCACGCCCGCGAGAAATGCGGTGGGATATCATTGCGCTTGAGAAGATTGCAAGTAACTATGTTCTGGGACTTCAGAGATTTTGACTTCACCTATTTCTGGTGGGCGTGAGCTGTGGCGTGAAGTGAGCGTGAACTGTGCGTGAATTGCCGTGAACAGTCAAAACCCTCGCCCTGGGGCCACCCGAGCGCGCGGCAGCTCGCCGCGTCTGCCCTGCCGAGGTGCGGGCGACTCCGCGGCGAAAGCTGCCCGCCATTCCCTGTCGCGCCGGGGCGCCGGTCGCCGGGCGCCGAGGCCGCGGCCGCTTGCGGGGGCTTCGCCTTGAAAACCTTGGACGAGGTCTCGCGAGAGGATATCCAGGGCCCCGTGCTGGGCGCCGCGGGTAACGTATATCATTTCGCGAGCGCTGGGGCGGGCCCCACGCGCGCGTGGGCCCTTTGGAAGGCTTCGAAACGTAGGCGGCCGAGGGTCGCCGCGGGGCGGGGCGGGCGCGGGGGCCGCCGCGCGCGCGCGCGCCAACGCGCCCCTTCCCTGCCGCCGCCGCCCCCGCCCCCTTGCGCTGCGGAGGGGGGGGGGGGGGGGGGGGGGCGTTCAGATGCGCGGCGTGGCGCTGTCGAGGGGGCGCCCTCGGGGCGGGGGGGGGAACGCGCGCCATATGCAGAGACGATGTTCGTTTTATTCGCGTCGGGCGGTGCGCCGTTGCGTCGGCGCGCCGTTCGGGCTTCTGTTTTGCGCGGCGGGTTCATCGCGCGTGCGACTCTTTTTCGGGAAAGTAAGGGGCGAATATCTCGCGTTCTCATGGCCTCGTATTGCACCGTTGCGCAATGCGTCGCATGGCTGACCCGCTGCGTCGCTGGAATATGCAGCATAGGATTACGCGGCGCATGCGTGACGTAGCATGGCGCTGCGTAGCGGGCGAGGAGCTGAGCGCGGACTGCGCGAAACCGAGCCCGGAGCTCAATTGCAACGCGGGCGCGAATGGGGTGCGCAATTTTGGCCGGCGTCGGCGGCGGCCAGGTCGCCGGCGCCGCCGTCGGTCGCGGAGAGCGCGGCGGTGGCCGCGGGTGGCATCTCCCAGAGCGCAGTCCTCAGCTGGGGGGCGCGCGGGCAGCGGCAGCGCGGCGGCGGGGGCGGCGGAGCAAGGCCCTGCTGGAGCTGGTCTTTCTGGGGGGCGGGGCCCCGCGATCGCCGGCAGTGGAACCCCGCGTCCTCACAAGCCCAATGGCTCTAGGGCTAGGGCTCAGACGGTTCGCGAAAGGTCGCGCGCATTTCCCACGCAGTGCCCGCCGCAGTTCGCGCCGCAGCTTACGCCTTCAAAAACGGTGGACATCGTTTCAGTTAATGCAATTTTGTTTTGTCAGCTTCACCTTATTTCTGGCGGGCGTGACGCGAGCGTGAACTGTGCGAGAACTGCCGCGAACGGTCAACACCCTCGCCCTTGGGCCATCCGGGCGCGCGGCAGCTCGCCGCGTCTGCCCTGCCGAGGCGCGGGCGACTCCGCGGCGAAAGCTTTTCGCCATTATCTGCCGCGCGGGGCGACCAGAGCGCTGGTCGCCGGGCGCCGAGGCCGCGGCCGCCGGCGGGGGGCGCCGCCTTGAAAACATTGGACGAGGTCTCGCGAGAGGAGATCCAGGGCATCATCCTGGACGCCGTGGGTAGCGTAGCTTTCGCGGACACCGGAAAACGTGTCCTCTGCGCGCATGCGGCCGAGGGTCGCTGCGGGGCGGGCGCGGGGGCCGCCGCGCGCGCGCGCGCGCTCCCCCCCACCCCCCGCCCCTTCCGTCGCCTCGCCCGCTCCCCTGCGTCGCGGAAGGGGGGAGGGGGGGGGGGGCGCTCAAAAACGTGGCGCGGCTTTCTCGATGGGGGCGTCCTCGAACGTAGAATTTTCGGAAGTTTTAGGCGGATCGTGCCGTTGGGCGAATTTCTTAAACGTGCTCTCGCGAATGTGCCTTCGAACGGGGGGTGGGTTGCTCAAAAGTGCGACCTGGGGCCGCTGGCCCAGGCCCTTGGACGCGAAGGGCGCGGGCGTCGCCGCGCGGCCGTTCCAGAGATCCCGGACGCGATGCGCCGAAAAATGCGCTCCAAGGGCTCCTTAACTCATTGCCCTTTCGGGTTCGGCTTCGAATGGCTTCGATGTTTTTTTTGTCCAGCAAAGTGTCTGTGGATGTGATCCGATAGGTCATGAGGAGGTGAGGGGTGTTGTCGTTCGGATGCAGGGCTTCCCGGGCGGGCCATGTCAGCAACTCGTCCTCTTCGTCCTCCCTTAGAGGTGTTGACATTCGGCTTCGGGGTTTCCGGAGCGGAAGCGGCAGGCAATTCGTCTCCTTCGTCCTCTCCAAGAGATGCTGCCGCTCGGTTGTAGGGTGTCCGGAGCAGGTCAGGTGGGCACCTCGTCCACTTCGTCTTCCACAGAGGTGTTGTCGTTCGGATGCAGGGTTCCAGGGGCGGCACATGGTCCAGGCAGACAACAGGTGGAGGAGACAGAGACGGCCCAGGGGGAGGAGGGATGGGGGCAGCATTGTGAGAGCGGCGAGGTGAAGAGCGGCGGGTGGAGGTATCAGAGAAGGCGGACGACGCACGCTGGAAGCATGAGAGAGAAAAGAAGGACAAAACGGATGCGTTCGAGGACGGGGTGGAAGCGGACGCTGCGGCGGGATGTAAACGAGAACGGCCGGCGCCGTGAAGAACAAGGCGCGGGCGTCGCACTGAGCCACGCACGCGCTGATGCCACAGGGCCGTGGCAGGACACCCGGGAGAGGGCAACAAGAACGTCGCGACTTGATCATTAGCCATGTCGGCTTAAGCTACGTGGCGCGGCGTTGGCAGCGACACTCTCGGTGCATCCGCTGTCCACTCCGACGACGACCGCGCGGACGATTGCCTCTTCGGCTGACTTGCCAACACCTCCAGGGAGGCCCTCTCGAGTGCATCCAGCTCAGCGAGACCGCGCGTCCGGCAGCAGCAGCAGCAGCAGCTTCTAGTCAAGCGGAGTGGGCATGGGCAAGCTGGTCGCAGCTCCACCAAATGCGCCCCAGAGTTTGCTTGGGGGCCGCTATCGCTTGGGGCGGAAATTGGGCAGTGGCTCGTTCGGGGACGCCTTCTTGGTTGCCAATGCGCGCACCGGCGAGGAGTTTGCTGTCAAGCTTGAGAGTGTGAAAGCCAAACACCCCATGTTGATGTACGAAGCTCGAGTGCTCGGGTATCTACAAGGGATGTCCGGGATACCCAATGTACACTATTGCGGCGTGGACGGTGATTACACTGTCATGGTGATGGACCTTTTTGGGCCGTCTCTAGATGACATGTTCAAACAATGCGATCGCAAGTTCAGCCTCACGACTGTGCTCATGATTGCTGTTCAGATGCTCTACAGAATCGAACATCTCCACGCAAGAGGATTCATCCATAGAGACGTCAAGCCCAGTAACTTCCTCGTCGGCACAGCATCAAGCCCAGCCCAACGTCGAGCCCAGCCCAGCCCAGCTTCTTCCATAGAGGCGTCCTGCAGCGATGTGTACATGATCGACTTCGGCCTCGCGAAGTCGTATCGTGATCCGGAGACGCAGCGGCATATACCCTACAGCGAGGGCAATGGCTTTTCGGGTACATCCCGCTACTGTTCCATCAACGCACATATTGGTATTGAGCAGAGCCGCCGTGACGACCTCCAGGCCATAGGCTACACACTCATGCACCTCATACGTGGGCAGCTTCCATGGCAGGGTATCCAAGCTGGCACGAGCGAGGAGATGGGCAGGATGATCCTGGATTGCAAGAGGTCCACGTCCATCGAGACGCTCTGCCACGGCTATCCGGAGACATTCGCAGTGTACCTCCGATACTGCCAGGCTCTCCGATTCCACGACAGGCCGGACTACGCGTACCTGCGGCGGCTCTTCCGGGACCTCCTCGTGCGCGAGGGAGGACGGCATGCCACGCTGGAGGCACCTCTACGAGAAGATCACCCGGCGCGTCCCTCTGGCCAGCGCGCGTGCAGGTGCGGCCGGCGGCGCTGAAGCCGTCGCCGGCCGCAGGCCCGTCCCTAGAGAGGCCAGCGAGCGCACTCCTGGCCTGCGAGGAGGAGGAGGAGGAGGAGGAGGAGGAGGAGGAGGAGGAGGAGGAGGAGGAGGAGGAGGAGGAGGAGGAGGAGGAGGAGGAGGAGGAGGAGGAGGAGGAGGAGGAGGAGGAGGAGGAGGAGAGGAGGAGGAGGAGGAGGAGGAGGAGGAGGAGGAGGAGGAGGAGGAGGAGGAGGAGGGAGGAGGAGGAGGAGGAGGGAGGAGGAGGAGGAGGAGGAGGAGGAGGAGGAGGAGGAGGGAGGAGGAGGAGGAGGAGGAGGAGGAGGAGGAGGAGAGGAGGAGGAGGAGGAAGGAGGAGGAGGAGGAGGAGGAGGAGGAGGGAGGAGGAGGAGGAGGAGGAGGAGGAGGAGGAGGAGGAGGAGGAGGAGGAGGAGGAGGAGGAGGAGGAGGGAGGAGGAGGAGGAGGAGGAGGAGGAGGAGGAGGAGGAGGAGGAGGAGGAGGAGGAGAGGAGGAGGAGGAGGAGGAGGAGGAGGAGGAGGAGGAGGAGGAGGAGGAGGAGGAGGAGGAGGAGGAGAGGAAGGAGGAGGAGGAGGAGGAGGAGGAGGAGGAGGAGGAGGAGGAGGAGGAGGAGGAGGAGGAGGAGGAGGAGGAGGAGGAGGAGGAGGAGGAGGAGGAGGAGGAGGAGGAGGAGGAGGAGGAGGAGGAGGAGGAGGAGGAGGAGGAGGAGAGGAGGGAGGGGGGGGAGGGGGAGGGGGAGGGGGAGGAGGAGGAGGAGGAGGAGGAGGAGGAGGAGGAGGAGGAGGAGGAGGAGGGGCCAGGCCCGGGCAGGGCGTGGTGAGGTCGGTGCTCCTGCGCTCGTCGGGGCTCCGGCGGGGCGCGCCGCGCTCCGGCCGCGGCCGCCGGGCCCAGCGCGGGGCAGATCCCCCGCGAGCGGCAGCTGCCGCCGAGGGGGCGCCGAGGGCTCACCGCCTGGGCACGCAGGCCATCAGACGCATGTAATGTTTCGATGCTCGTTTCGGGGACCTTCCTGGAGCCCACCTGATGGATCTGTTCGACTCAGGTTCGGCTCAGGTTCGATTCGGGTTCGACACAGATTCGACTCAGGTTCGACTCAGGTTCGACTCAGGTTCGACTCAGGTTCTACTCAGGTTCGACGCAGCTTCGACGCACGAGTGGAGCGAGTGGCTCCAGGAAGGTCCCCAGAATGAGCATCTGATAAGGTATCGGACGCGTAATCTTATCCATACAGTTGGGGCGCTGAAGAAGGGACCCTCTTCGTTGGGGAGGGGCTCGGGGTTCCTCCATTGTTCCACACCTTGCCCACGGTTTTCCTTGAGCTTTCGATGGGAAGTCGAAGGTTACCTTATGAAAAAGGGGGCCTCGTTCCTCATTTAGGGTTCCTTAGGTCAACACCTCGACTGTAAGGTGTCAGACGCGTAATCTTTTCCATGGTTGTCGGGACGGAACCCCGCATCCTGCCACGAGAGTAGCGACGTCTCTCTCGAAGCTCTGTCCCGCTTGCTCCACAATGTGTCTCTGCAACCTGATGCACGGAAGTGCCTGTGCGATTACGTGGGGCCCGTCCCCATCCGGCATTCTGTTCGCACAGAGTGAATATTTATCCAGTGTGTGGGACGACGGTGATACATTTGCGCGTGATTGGCGCGGGTGCTGGAGAGAATGCGGGTCGGGGTGTGAAATGCCGACCGGCGCCCCCCCGTCCCCAGCCATCCAGCGCCCCCGAATTTTTTTACCTCGGCTGGAGCTACAGGATCAGATCTCGATTTTGCCTGCTCCTCTGTCTTTCGGCCCTGCCCTGCGTGCCTGCGCCGGCCTGTCGTTTCAGCCCTTTGTCCTTCGTACCGGAGGCTTCGCATCACCAGTCGCCGTCGTTGCACCCCTTTTAATGCACCTCTGATGTGCACGGCTTCTCTCCCCCTCTCTCGCCCCCACCCCCCCGCCAGCGCATGCCAGCTCTGTTCCTTCTCTGGACCCTGCCCCCTCTCCTCCGTAGCAGTCCCCCGTGCCCACTGCAGGCGGACACGCGCTCCGGCTGAGCTTCAAGATCGCCAGCATGTTGATATCTCTCTGTCTCTCTCTCTCTCTCTCTCTATATATATATATATATTGGCTGTTTTTTTACCTCTCTCTCTCTCTTTCTCTCCCACTCTCACTCATCTAGCTGCTCCAACTCAGGGGAGGAAAAGACCTCGATACCGCTATCTTTCCCCTGTTCTTTTCTCCTTTGTTCGCCTCCTGGGAGGCCCTCGCGGCCACCGCTGCATTCGCCTTGAAATCCTTAGCCAGAACGGTGTAACCGGTGTACCGGTGTAGCGGTTCTGACTTTTACATTCCCTCCAACTCTTCCGGCACCTCACAGAGGTCTCTGCGGACACCGCCCGTCTCCCGCTTCGTTAGGCACCGCTGTCCAAGACAGTTTTGTCCTGGGACGTGCTGATCATCATGCTGATCTCCTGGTGACCTGCTGCAGCGCCTCCCTCAGGGGTGCCTCCGCCCCCTCCCTGTCGCCCAAGCATGCTTGCCCGTGCACGTTGGGCCGCTCACGGAGGCACGCTGAGGGTGTGACACGCCCCACGGTCTCCGCGGTCGCGCCCAGCCGCCCAGGCGGAGGGAGGGGAGGGAGGAGGGACAAGGATCCGTCCGAAAGTTTTTCCCGAACCCCCAGCCGTTGAGGAAGCCCTTCGGCGAAGCGCGGGGGAGGAAGAGGAGGATGAGGAGAGGGAGGGAAAGAGGAGGATGAGGAGAAGGATGAGGAGACCTCTTAGGAGCTTCTTGCGTCATTCTTGGGGCCTCCTGGGAGCTTCCTGGGGGCCTCTTGAAGGACTCTTGGGGGCGTCCTTGGGCCTCTTCGGGGCCTTTGGGGGCTTCTCGGGGGCCACTTTGGCCGTCTTATGGCGTTCCTGGCCCGTTTGACGCCGCCGGAAGCCGGCTTGGGAGCCCTTCTGGTCCGCCTTGGGGTCCTTTTGGGTCGTCTTGAAGGGTCGTTTTGAATACCATCTTGGGCGTCTTTTTAAGCCTCTTGGGCCGTCTTGGGGCCCTTTGGGACTCGTCCTGGTAGACTCTTGGGCCGTCCTGGGGCTGTCTTGGAGGCCTCTTGGGCGATCTTGGGGCAATCTTGGAGGCCTCTTGGGCCGCTTCGGGCTGTCGGAAGGCTGTTCTGAAGCAAATGCCCAAATCCGTCAGGAACCTCAGGACAATCAGTGATTTTGGCCTCTTCGGACCTTCCTGGAGGATCGCTTGGAGGCCTCTTGGGCCGCCCTAGGGGCCTCTTGGGCGCTTCTTGGGCCGTCTTGGCCTCTCTTGGACTGTCTTGGCGGTCTTGGAGGCATCTTCGAACAGTCTTGGAGACCATCTTGGGGCTACCGTCAGCTCTCTTGGGGCCACCTTGGCCATCTTGTAGGCATCTTGGAGACCATCTTGGGCATTCTTGGCCGTCTTGGGGGCGATTTGACCAATGAGGGGTGGACTTTGGGGACCTTTCCGGGCGGCTGGCGGGATCGGCCGAAGCCCCGGGGGGAGTTCTTTCCACCAAACGTCCAGCACGCCAAGCATCCCTGTGATAAATCAACAGGGGGCGGCGGATCTGAGTGCCTTCGGCCCATCCCGCCACCTTGCCTGGGCTGTGGGTCATAGACCTCTCGGATGTTCGTTGGGATGACAGTTTTGAAGCCTCTTAGGGGGCCGTCTTGGGGCCTCTTGGGGGGCGACTTCGGGGCCTCGTGGGGGCCTCTTTGGGCCTCTTGGGGACTCCTGGGGGCATCTTGGGACGGAAGGCTCGCATGGTCGGTTTGGACTCCCACTCTTGGGCCGTCTTGGAGCCCTCTTGGGCCGTCTTGGGTCCCTGTTGGGGCGTCTTGGGGCCATCTTGGGCCGTTGTGGGGCCCTCTTGGGGGCCTCTTGGGCTGTCTTGCTTTTGGGGGCCTCTTGGGCCGTCTTGGGGCGGTCTTGGGACCTCTTGGTCCATCTTGGACATTGTGAAAGCTCAAAGTCGTGCATGCACAGTAAACAACGCTTTATTTCCCGAAGGCAATGTGACGTTCTTTGCCTGTTGGGGGTGCTCTTGGAGGCCTCTTGGTGCGTCGATTTACTTGGTAAGACTTGCAGCTCAGCGCTGAGAATAGAACGAGCCGACGTCTCATGGTGATGATCAGGTGGCGGCATTAGATGACGACTCTCTTGTTTGGCCAGCGGCATGCCGGCGCCTCGCCGGTCCTCTCCGCCACGCCGCAAGCGGGCCGATCTTGCCCGGGTGCGGGTTCTGCGGCTCTCTTGCTGTCATCCTCAGCCTGTGCCTGCGCCCTAAGCTGAGCCACTCGGCCATCGACGCTGGTTGGGTCTACTTTGGAGCCGTTCCGGAGTCCCCCTCGCGTCAGGAGCGGGCACTAGACGGTCCTGTGGCAGTCCTTCAGGTTTCGAGCAGTGGCGAAGCGTCCTGGCTCGCCTATAGCCCTACCAAACAATGTTCTGAGAACCTCTTGTGGTTTCCTCGAAATGTTCTTAGAACATTTCTGGCTGGGGCTGTCGTGTTTTGTCACATCGGGTTTCTGTTCTAAGAACATTGTTTTTGTTCTTGGAGCATTTCTTCGGGGGTGGACAGAGCCCCCAACAGTGACACGTCGATTAGTGAATTGTCCGTTTTCGGTTCTCGAGAGGGCGCCGCGGCCGTTATTTCCCAGGCTTGCGCCCGCCAGGTTTGGGCCTCAGGTCGTTTTCACTAAACCACGTTTTGCTAAAGTGAGGTCTGTCCATCCCCGAGTTTTGGGTCCTTGGAACATCTCGTGGTAGGACTATAGGAGTGCCGGGACGGTCAGTCCCTGCTCAAAAGGCTCCGAAGGGGCTCGCGGCGCTGTGGGCGCACTCGCCCGCCCTCTTCCCTGCCGCCGACCCGCTGCGGCGCGCCTCCCGGCAGGTGGGGCGCCCCGTCGCTGCTGGGCGCGTGCTGGGCGGACAGGGCCGTCTCCCTGCTGGTGAGCTCCTT